TTATAGAAGATAAGACGAGGGTAAAGCTTTGCTAAAGAACTGAAGGCACCCTTAATCCTTGTCAATCTCTTGTCCCACCGAAAGTTTAGGCAACGATGTGGTTGATGAACCCAGTGGGGCCATAAACAGAAGTCCCTGTAGTAGGCCCAGGTCGGCCATAGACCTCGGGTCCAAGATCGTCATCGTTTCGACTAATGTTCAGGTGTGGTCTGAAAGGGAGCTCATTTAGCAGGCAGATGCTTTGCACAGTTAGATAAGCAGGTATTAGTTCCCTGTTGCCACGGTCCCCTTTGTCGGCCCCTAAACCTCTCTTTATGGCCCCCATGGTTTTACCCCAATTTACACATAGTTAGCTGCACATATATCTACCTGCCTACATACTTATTATAGCAAACAGTTCGAAGTTAGTCTTGCTGCGAGTGCTGTCGCGTTATCCAGCGAACTATTTACGAATTTATTCTTAACACTAGATTTACGGAACCCGTCAATTTGACGGATATTGCATTTTTTAATTATTTATTTAGTATCAGTTTAAGTCGATTTTGATTCGTGCAATTATGCGAATGCGCATTGCAATAGTCTGGTTTTGAAATTATAATTTTCGCGAATTTTCTAGAAACAATAGAATAAAGTTTCGAATAAACGTCCGTGAATCTAGTGTTAAACGTTCGCAGAATTATTCATAAATAATTGAGTAAGCTTAAAAACTGTCTTCAAGTAAGTGAATGATTTAACAAATTCTTTTCAAATATCCGAGTAATTTAGAAAATTGCCAACTTGTCATAGCAATCATTTGAAAGTTAATCTTGCTTCGAGCACTGACGCAACCTTTACAGCGGACAATTTAAAAAAAGGATCGATCCGGCGCCCACACGGTTAGCTCTTTGTCCATTTATTATAGGAAAAAGTTCAAAGTTAATCCTGCTCCGAATGCTGACGCAACTTTTACGGTGAATTATTTAAGAAAACGCTTGCCCCGGTGTACGCACAGTTAACTTTTCTGTATAGCGGAAAATTTATCTTGCGAAGGCTGATGCAACCTTCGCGCAAAGCGATTCAAGAGAAAGAAAAAGAATGTTTCCCCGAACCATCAGACAGCACACATTTCGACTCGGAATGTCCACTTAAAAGGCCACTAAAATTCATTAACGCTCGCGCGACGACCGTTGAACGGGAGTTTTCGTCACTGCCAGCAGAAACAGTGAAAGTCGACCTTTCTCAGTCCGAAACTTATCTTTCCCGAAACCGCTCGATCATCGTTCTCCCCGGGGAACGGCGTTTTTGCGTGGCGGAACAAAAACGGCGAGCACAATCAGAGCAGAAATTCGGGTCTATTTGACCCACTCGCTTTCTCATTTTTTCTCAACGCGGTGTATCGTACGTTCAGTCTTTTTCAGGTGAATCGAGGAGAGAAAAAGATTCGAAGCCACTCGCGAAAGAAACCTGTGTACAGGGTGTCCCGAAAATATACCGCACGCGAATATCGATCAGTCGGGGCAGCGAGTGCAACGACTGCCTTCTGCTGTGGCGCGAAATGACGAAATGTGACGCAATTTGACACAAGCCGAAGTCTTATGGTGTCGAGTCCTTTGACCCTTCGTGCGACGGAAAAGGACACCGGTCCTCTACTCTCCTGTAGGAACTTCGACGGCGATTTGCAAGCGAACTCTTTATTTCAGACTGTTCACACGATGCAATTACGAAAACTTCAAACACTCAGTTTATTTGAGTAGCTAAGTAGTTGATGAATTTTTACAGTTCGTGATATCGTGATTATATGGTATATAGAATTTCATTGTTTCTGAAGTGTCCTCGAATAAATGATTAACACGCTGGTTTATGTTATTTACATATAAACAATTTTCTTGGTGATGTAACGAAGGGACCGAATTCTGTTGGATTTATGAGATACTAGAAAGATAGAGCAATCTTTGTAAAGAATATTCACCTTTCAGTTTCAGCTTTATTAAGAAAATTGCTTCGTAGGAGTTTCGATGAGTTTTTACTTGGCAGTTAAAGTGTTAAGGTGGTATATTCAACTGCACTTGATTTGAGAAACATCGATGCAAGTTCTAAAGTGAAAGACTAAGAACTTTTTGGACCACAGAGGGTTAACCCCTTCTTCAAGGTCAGGCTAAACTCACGAGAACTTTCTTACGTCCTTTTCCATCGAATATATATGAACATGTTGCGATAGTCGAGACGTATATCTTTGAAACACCCTGTACAGTGGGAATCGGAATTTTTTCAATCACAAATCGATTTCGATGAAACCTATAGACATAGTTCTCGAGAAAATACTTGATACGTATTGTTTCTTATCGACCAACATTTGATCAGTTGAAAGCACCTTTGAAAGTATATTGTTTATATCAACTAAACAGCGTAGAAAGGAAATCTAAGTTCTAAAGTGAATAATTAAACAAAATTTCACCTCGAACGAACTTGGAACTTAGTTGAAAAAATAATTCCTTCTTCCCATAGTTTGAAGGAAATCTAAGTTCTTTTGAATGAACTTGGAATTTAATTGAAAAAATAATTCCTTCTTCCCCTAGTTTCAGATTTATAATCTAATTTAAAGTCTAAGTTGTTCTAAGGTGAATAATTGAACAAAATTTCACCTCGAACGTAGATTTCCTTTAAACTATGGAAAGAAGCAATTATCTTTTTCAATTAAATTCCTTCTTCCCCTAGTTTCAGATTTATCATCTAATTTAAAGTCTAAGTTGTTCTAAGGCGAATAATTGAACAAAATTTCATCTCGAATGAACTTAGATTTCCGTTAAACTATGGGAAGAAGGAATTATTTTTTCAATTAAATTCCTTCTTCCCCTAGTTTCAGATTTATTCTACAAAATACATTTCCAACCCTCAATTTTAAGGGATGTTTTCACGCGATCGAAGTGGATGTTGGCCGATAAGGAAAAATACGTGTCAAGTATTTCCTGGAGAACTGTGTCTATAGGTTCCACCGAAATCGGCGTGCGCTGGTTGAAAATGGGTCCCCTCGTGAATGCATAACTCGATCGAACCCGCGGAACTCTGCCTTGACCACTCGCGATTCAATGATTGCGGGGCGCGTTATTGTTTATTTAACGTTACGCCGCGGTGACGATCACGGCCGAGACAAAAGAGCCGCGAGCCGAACGGTTAATCGAACGGGATAATCCCGTCGTATATTCGAAAGTATACGGTCGGAAAGTTCGGCCGATCGAAAGTCCGCGGCTGGTGGCATTCGAATAGAAAGTTCAGTTAACAGTATTTCGATAACCGTGTGTCCCGATGAAAGTCCTAGCTGGCTGGTGTCTTTCTTTCTTTTTTTCGCCTGCCATTTCTTTCTCTTTCGCTAGGCGAACGCCAGAAATAGATTTTCTGGGTCGATTAACCCCTTGCCTTGTAACGTCGAGTCGGAGTTTCTACATTGCGTTTAACGAATATTAATATTACTCGTTTCTTTCCGATCGGAAGGGATTTACAGTGCATTCTTGTTAATATTTCATGGCTGCAGTTAGATGTGCGTCCACTGTGAATATGGGAACTCTTGTTTTAGATACTTGTTAAGGACAAAGTGGTTTCGACTGGATAAAAGAAGGTTAAACGATTCTTTATCCTGTATCTGTTGACAGTAGAATTGACTTTCGTTTATCTACCTATAGGAATTATAATTGAGTTGCGATTAACTTATATTTTAATTGATAGATTACTGAATCAAAATAGATTGCTAGGTAAAAGGCAGCATTATACGGCAAAGGGTTAAACGATCGATCATCCTCTATCTGTTAACAGTAGAATTGACTTTTGTTTATCCTCCTACAGAGATTACAATTGTGTCGCAATTGACTTATATTTTAACTGATAAAAAGGTACAAGGTAATATTATAAAGTAAGGGGTTAAAGTTTATCCTTTATCGATTGCCAGTAGAATGATCTTTCGTTTATCTTCCTACAGAAATTATATTTAACACATTGAACGCCGGCTAAATTTCAGCTACTAGAAACGGGAGTGTCGATGATTACACTAATATATTTTTAAACATCGATCAAACCGAAATTTGTAACTTGCGAAAAAGAATGAATTCGATTTTGTCATTTTAGTTTGGATTTGTGTTATACATATCTAAAATGTTACATTAATGCACTAGCAATTAAACGGTAGACTAAAAATCCCGCATTATCGGTCGGGGCGCAATGTGTTAACCCTTTGCACTCGAGAGTTGACTCTCAGTCACCATTTGATTTGATATAACAAAATTACAAAGTGTTGTATATAATATTAACACTAGGTTTTTCGGAACGCGTCAAATTGACGCATATTGGATTTTAGAAATATTATTTTGTAAATGTTTACGCTGATTTTGATTGATGCGATCACACTGACATGTACCCCAATTACCTACTATCAAATCTCCAGTTTCCACAATCTAAATAAACGAGCATCGATTCTTTTAGAAATAATAGAATGAAGTGTACAATAAATGCCCGTAAACCTAGTGTTAAGTTTTGTATAATGCATCAATATGTGAAAAATTTATAAAATAGCTTTGTTTCTCAATTTAGGTATGTTTTCTCATTAGTTCGTTTCAAATATGTCTATGTCTCATCGGAAAGTGTCGAATGTTTCTAGTGAAAAGCTTCCGAGTGCAAAAGGTTAAGTTGCAATTGGCTTAGCTTTTAATTGATAGATTACCGAATCAACCTATTTAGCACGCCGCTACCAAAGACTCTAAACGAACTTCGCCTTCCCGCGATTAAACAAGAGAACCGCAGCGCGATACAATTCGCCACGCGATTCGCTCGCTTAGAGTACTTTTTATTTCGGTAGTTTTCCTTCTAAAAAGAGACGCACGCCGGTCGAAGCCCGATGAAATTGATTAAACTGCTTTTTCTTCGACCGGCGCGCGCGTGTGTGTGCGTGTGTGTATGTGTGTGTTGCACGTTTCCGTGAAACGTTGCGGAAGAAAAAGAACGAATCGCTGACAAAGTGATCTGGTCGGTTGCAGTGAACCTGGCGGACAGCGGAGGCCAGAGGGTAGACATGAAGCACTTCGACTTGCTGAAGGTCCTTGGAGCTGGAGGTACGTGTGCGAAGTCCACTTTGCTAGTCGCCGAGTTCGTAATGGGACGATGTTGAATTATTCGAGTCATTGCTTTCGAAACTTTCAGTTACAACAGCGTATACTGCCGATGGTCATTATCATTTAAAAGTGCTCGCTTGAGAGACGCTCGTTAGCATCTTCGACTGCTGATTAATAGAAAACTGCAATATTTGATAGTATCGAAGAGTGTTCACTAACATTTCACGGTTTTCAACAATACTCATTACAGTAATCATTCGGCAATAATCGTTAATACTACTTAGCAATGTAATACTGCTACTAAACACTAGAACTAGTGTCAATCAAATAGGATCATCAGTCAGTAGAAGATTCATATCTTCGAAGCATTGAATATTCGAAGTAATTTTGAAAATAAATAGTTCTCGAATACACGAATGTCTGAAGAAACTGAAAATTGTCATAGTTTGTATAGGAATTACGTATTAATCGTATGAAACGCTAGTTCTAGTGTCAATATTACTAATATAATACTAACTTCTTATCAGCTGTTGCTCAGTATTGACTACAACAACGGTATCGAATAATTTAATCTCGATCTAATCACTCTTCACGGTATCAAATAATGAAGTACTACTCAAAAATCGTTCGAAACATTTTCGAATATCCATATATCCAGAATATTCAGATATCCAGACAATGAGAATGCATTTCTATATAGAACAGTCTTCGAAGAAACGAGTATAACTCAAGACTCCCGCGAATACCGACAGTTTTCCTTTTTCCACCGTTTCTTTTTTTTTTCGCGTAACATTGCTCGAGCGAGACCGTATCCGATACAAGGTGTATCCACCGGGTACAAGAACCAAGAATTGCTTTTGTACAGCTTACGGGAAGGTGTTCCTGGTGCGAAAGAAGACTGGCAGCGATGCTGGTCGTCTTTATGCCATGAAAGTCCTGAAGAAAGCATCCATCGTGCAGAAGAAGAAGACGACGGAGCACACGAAGACGGAGAGACAAGTTCTGGAGGCCATTCGAGACAGTCCTTTTTTAGTTACGCTGCATTACGCCTTTCAGACGGACACGACGCTCCATTTGATATTAGGTAAAACACTCTCGGCGACTCGCTTCGACTTTTAACCGTTCGGGGAATCGATTGATCCTTGCCACTTCGAAATGGACACGGAACAAAAAGGGACGGGGATCGATTTAATCGTACAATCTTGCGCGGAACGCGCCGGTTTCTGTAAAACGTTGCCTTAACGCTAACCGTACCGGCACTTTTCCTACCGTAACTAGTCGACTGGCTACAAAACAGAGACAAACAAATTGGATGATAAATTTTTAGAAACTAATTAATCGGACAATGTAGGAATTGATAGAAAATTAAATGAATAAACGAAAACGCAGAGTTTTAACCGTTTGCGACGAATGTCGGCATTTTGGCGACATGAAACTTGTCTTTCGAAGACTTAGAAGGAGAGAGTCTTCGGGTCATCAATTTCGTTGAAAATTTGCATATTGGTAGATTTGGTTCTCCTGTTTATGAATATATACCATTATAAGGCAGATATTCAATAGTTTTTTAGATATTCGTTATTAATAATTTAACACGTCAATAAGTACAGTATTAATCAGAATAATCATCAAGTTGAATAATGGCGTGAGGGTAAAATTCTGAAATTGTACTCTGTAGACCAGGGTTCGGTTCCCCGTGGGAAAGAAATAGTTTTCGATTTTTTTTATTTAAATTAATTCAATTTTGTGCATGGAAGGCCTTGCACTCTCCTTGTAAGTCGCGAACAAACGATTCAGTTAGTCAGACAGCAAGAGATCGGCACGTGGTTTCCTCTTCTTCTATTGATTAAACAATTGATCTGTAATTTAGCTCGATCTGTTGAAGGTTTTGTATATTTCAAGGAATTTTCGTCCACAAAGAGTTAACCCTTTGCACTCGAGAGGTGATTCTCAGTCACCACTCGATTTGATGCAGTGAAATTATAAAACTTAATGCATTGTGTGTGAAATATTAGGGTAAAATAGCGTTGTTGTCCTCCATTCTAACTTTTTAACCCTTTGCACTCGAGGGGTGACTCAGTCACAACTTGATTTGATGCAATAGAACTATCAAATTTGATATTTAATATTGAACTTTGTAGAATGCCTCGATACCTAAAACATTGGGATAAAATAGCTTTGTTTCACAATTTACTTGTGATTCCTCGTTGAGTTAATTTCAAAAAATATCTTCTTTGTCTAGTTAGAAAATGTTAAGTATTCCTAACGAAATACTTCCGAGTGCAAAGGGTTAAAGCATTAAAATGGTACGGTTATGTTCGCGACGCTCGATATTTCATATTTTATACAGAGAAGAGTAAATTATATTCGCGTGTGTGTTTTCATCTAAAATTATAACGCATAGACGTGCAGGAGAAAGTCGCGGAGATGTTTTCTCTTGATTATTATGTGTACTTTGTAAAGACGATACGTTTTATTTAACCCCTTGCCGTACAATGACGAGTGAGACTCGCGATGAAGATTTCTAGATTAATTTAACAATCAGTGTTCATTACCCACGGATCAAAGCAAACTGTTTCGCTAATATCGACGTATTATCTTCAAACGAAATTTCCGGTTAGAATGGAAAATTTTGCTGCTTCTAAACTGCCGATAGTAAAATATTACATAAAATTGATAGTGAAAGTAAATAGTACTCCAAGGGTTAATCAAATGTAATTAGAGAAGGAGAAGAAATTCTAGGCATATTCTATGCTTATTCTATGCTACGTTTCCTTTTAAATATGATAACTGATTGCAGAAGAATAATATTTACTCCGAATTCGAGTAACATTTACGTTTGTCGAATCACGTCGGAAATCTTCACCGCGCGCGTGTTGTTGCAAGGCGAGGAGTTAACAAGCTTCGATCGCGGAGACCCGGTGGCCAGTCGCGATTGTAACGGGCAAACGATTCCTCGTTTCGAAATAATTATTCGGAGCAACGATAACGATAACTGGAACATTTCTGTTTCGCCGGTGGAACGGAATCGGAGCGGCGACAGAATAAAATGATAAAGGCGGAGCAATACTTTCTGGGACGATCTATTCAATGGTAATCTCGCCTCCGTGCGAAATGTATAATTCGGCGCGGGTAATTTTTAACCGAGGCTACGACCTTCTCCTCTCGCGTGTCAACAATAATTTCCCTTTAACCAGTTCACTGTGGAATTTAGTTGGAAAAACCTCTGGTTCTGCGCGCGGTAAAATCGAAAAACGGAACGTGTAGTCGTCGAACGCAGGACGAATGCGTGTAGAGTATATTTTAACCCTTTGCACTCGAGAGGTGACTCTCAATCATCATTTGATTTGACGCAGTAAATTAGAAAATTTAATATTTAACACTAGAACTACGTACCAGTCAAAATGACTGGTTTTGATTTGTTTGTGTAGCAATTATTGATATCTTCGAAGCATTGAATCTTCTAAATGATTTTGAAAATAAATAGTTTCATTTGAGTACTATAATGAATATCCGAAGAAACTGAAAATAATCTATTGTTCCAATTTTTATGGGAATTGCATATTAATCGTATTAAATGCTCGGTAGTTCTAGTGTTAACATTGACTATGTACAATGCATCGCTGCGCGAAATATTGGGATAAAAAAGAATTTGAATTCATTTAAAAAAACCATCGCCTTTGTCTGGTTAGAAAATGTTAAGTACTGCTAACGAAATACTTCCCAGTGCAAACGGTTAACGAAAGATCAAAGCGAAACAAAGAATTACACGTTTATGCGAAAAAATAAAGAATTCATTGCCGAAAGAATCAGTATCGTGTCGAGCTTTGCGACGACGTGTATACTCGTCGAACACAGTTAACTGGTTAAACAAAGCTTGCGTAAAGTCGCCGAACACTCGTCGTATCTACTTTTCAAAGTTCAAACGATAGCTCGGCAAGTTTCCGCGGCGCGATCGAGATCGTCGCGTTCGAAGTCGAGCGTTTGATCGCCGCGCAGAATCAACAGGGAAAGAACACGGCGAAAAAAGGAGAGTGGAAAACGTTCGTTGCACCGTACGAAGTTCTAGGAGAGCGTACTTTTTTTTCTTTCCTGTTTTCCTCGCGTATCTGATCGGCTATTTTAAGGTTTCGCGGGGAATCGCGCAAACAATCGCCTCCATTCAGTCGGCGATCGCGTGTTCCGAGCGTGCATCGCGCGTAGTTACAGGAGAATTACGTCCGACTCCTCATTACGAGGCGAATAGTCGCAAACTGAAACATATCGGGACGCGTGTTTACGTTTTCCGTATTTTTAGGTTGCAATTTGACGCGTCGACCGCCGTCGCCGGTGATCGGCTCCCTCGAATCGCTTAAAGATATCGTTAGAATTGCAAAATGTTTATTCGATGTTTGCTCCGACTCGCTCGTCAATGGAATTGAATAGTTAATTATAGAGTCCGCGATACCGTCGAATTTCAAGAACATTAGAAACAACTAGATAATAATCCGAGGCAAGAATTGCGACATTTAATGATAGCAATTATGTAATAGTTCGAAACGAGAAGTGTAATAATTAACGAGAACAATTACGTAACCGTGCGAATAATTATTGACCGCTGAATGTCATCGCAGTACTTACTCCGCATTATCGAACGGTTTGCGTTTACGGTTTAAACCGATCGCAGGTGCATACTAGCTTAAGTTTCTGTCGCGCTCGGCGCATTAGAGATTTTAAGGGGAGATTTAACCCTTTGCGCTCGAGGGGAGATCCCCAGTCAGCATTTGATGCGATACAAGTAACATTATTAAGTTTGATATTTAATATTAAACTCGGTGTGACGCATCGCTGTGCGAAATATTGAAATAATAGCTTTCTGCCTTCACCCTTTGCGGACGAAAATTCGAAGTGGACGAAAACTTTCGAAGATTCTACTAAATTAGATATCGAATTCTTATATCGTAGAAAATAACGAATCGTGTACCGATTTCTTGCTGTTTGAATAGTTTCCTTTGTTTGCAACTTATTCGAAACATGAACGACTCCGACAAAATGGCTACATTCGTCCGCGAAGGGTTAACGATCGTTAACTTAGTTTCGAAGGACATCGTTTATATATCTCATCAGGAAATGTTGAATGTCTCTAGCGAAAAACTGTCGAGTGCAGGGGTTTGACAATATTTAAACGAGAACTCTTTTTCATTTGCAGATTATGTCAGCGGCGGTGAATTGTTTACACATGTGTTTCTGCGGGATCACTTCACCGAGGACGAAGTGCGGATTTATATTGGAGAAGTTATTTTGGCGCTAGAGCATCTGCACAAAGTAAATCCCGCGACGTTCTCTTTTCTCTTTATTCTACCTACGTAATCTCTCTCTTTTTTCCTGCGATATTCTATCTTCAACGAAGGCACAGGCACCAGTAATAGACCTGTTATCAGCGGTTGACCATTTTTCAGGGGAACGTACAAAATAAGGTCGTTAAAAGTAATAATCTCTCGATAAACGCGCGACAGATATGCTGTTACCTGAATTCAATTGTTTATCGTAGAAATTAACAATTTATTTCATCGACGTTAGTTGCTTGACTCCAACTTCCAACATGGAATTAACTTTTCATTCGTATTTGTCCTTTTACTTGTAATTTGTCGTAATCGTTGCAAGTAAATGATACTAGATTAATTAACTTGCTTCTGGTTTTGATATAGGTGGTCAGCTGCTAATTAACATATGGTCATCAAGTTTTCATGTTTTAAAGATTAGCTTCTAATGCAAGTATGGAATTTTCAAGAATTTGGATGATACAACTATTTAAAAAAATGCTCGTTTTATTGTACATTATTATTATATTTATTGTTCATTATTATTCACGCAGAACGTTCGTCGTAACTGATCAACTATTGGTGCTTTTACCTTAATTGTGATCTTCAAAATCTCCAATCAATGTTTTCGACTTTACTCATTGTTATCTGAACGGTACGAAGTCAGTTTCCTCTTTTCATCAGCAGACTCCATGGACACCTATGAATTCTTTTAACACTAGAACTACTGTAACAATCAAACTGACTGGTCTCCTTGTTTCCTAATTATTGATACCTTAGAAGCATTGAATATCTGAAATGATTTCGAAAATTGTTTCACTCGAATACTATAATTAATATATGAACTGAGAATGATCTATCGTTGCAATTTTTATATAGATTACACGTCAATCACATTAAATGCTTGGTAGTTCTAGTGCTAATCACAATCATGCAAAATCTTTCATTTTATTTTATGGAAACTATTCGTATAGCGCTCTCGGATTTCGTAAAAATCGAAAACAGCGACGATCACTTATTATCGCGATGATAAAATCATAGGAGAAATGAACCGTTTATTTTGTGACTTAAGTCGACTTAACAAATATTAAAGAACTCTTAAAGAATAAAACAATTGCGTAGAATTGTAACTATTACAAGGATTAACCCCTTGACCTATTTACTTTATTAAATTAAAAAAAGCAAAATTTTCCATTCTACTTTAAGCAGAAGTTTCATTGATAATAGCAAAATGGTTTTTCTCTTTGATCCGTGGGTAACGAACATTGATTTTTGTTAATCTGGAAATCTTCATTAAGAATCTCTCTCGTCATTGTACAAGGTTAACTCGATTTTTTTGAAAAGTGAACTTAAGCGACTTTCAGAATAAACGGCTGAAATAATAAGTTTCTATTAAACTCGTTCTGTCCGCTTTGCCTCGACCGCGTACAACTCGCAGTTGTGACATTCCATTTATCTAAAGATATTCGTACCCTCCCCTGTTCGCGTTCAATTCCGCGAGAAAAACATCCACGCTCCATGCATAATACAATATTTGTTCACTGTTTTTAAAACGCGTCGCTGCTTTCGAATGGAACTTAATCCGAAGTCATCGTGATTTAGTTCAGCCTGATAATATGGGAATACGAAAATTCAAAAGAAACTGAAACATGCAAATTTACATTGAGGACTTCGGAACTCATACCGCATTTATAAACAATTCTCAGTTTATTTTAACCTCTTGCGCTGGAAATGAATTCTGAGATTTGGCAGTTTTTACCTATTTTATACGAATGTGTGCAACTTTGTTTATCAATCATCTTGTAGAGTGACACATTTTCAAAACAATCTAGTACGTGTTTCGACAAGATATCGTTATGTACAAGGCTTTAACAATTTTGAAGCAAAAACATCTCGTGATACGTCTTTCCCGCGCAAGAGGTTGACTATGTGTATTTATCTTAATCACTAATTAAACAGAAATGGCCATTTTCGTTGCTACAAGTTAACGCTAGATTTATAGACATTTATTGTACAGTTTATTCTGTTCTGAGAAAGACTGATATCCGTTTAGATCTAGAAAACGAAATGTTTAAAAATATATTAACACGTTGACGCTCATTTTGAAATCGGTGAGTGTTTCCAAAAACACGCTTCTTTTTTTGTCAATTGGTTCTTGGGGAGTTCGATCAAGATTTCATACCTACGGATTAAAAATATTGTATTTTCTAATCAATTTTGTCCGTAAACCTAGTGTTAACCCTTTGCGGACGAATGTCGACATTTCGGCGAGATGAAATTTTCATATTCGGAAGACTAAGTCGCGAACAAATGATTTAATTAGTGAAACAGCAAGAGATCAGCACGTAGTTTCCTGTTAATTAAACGATCGAAATGTAATTTCACTTCATCCGCCGAAGGTTTTCTACATTTCGAAGAATCTTCGTCCGCAAAGGGTTAAAGAATACGCATCTCCGCTGAAAAATTGTATGTCACCGTGCAACCTTTCTTCTGTTCCAGCTGGGGATCATTTACAGGGACATCAAGCTGGAAAATATTTTATTGGACAGGGAGGGGCATATCGTGTTAACGGATTTCGGTCTGAGCAAAGAGTTCCTGCCGCACGAAAGGGACAGCAACGCTCGTGCCTACTCCTTTTGCGGAACTATCGAGTACATGGCACCGGAAGTGGTACGAGGGGGCTCGGCGGGCCACGATGTTGTGAGTCAGGATGAATTTACGTCACGATCCGTTCCCTTTGCCGTTCTTGGAACATCGATATCGCGCCCCCGTGCCTCGTCACTGTCAAACGGCGATGTTCAGCCGTCCGCCGTTGTTTATTCACGTAGAATCCGGCTCGTCCGAGATTTCGGGAAACCGAAAGTACGCTATGACACGGTCGCAACCTCTTTATCTCGATCGTTATGGGTAGAACCTTTGCGCCACGATCGGGGTACACGCGGCAAACAGAAATACCGATTGATAAGCCCTTCCCGCGATACTTTACGGCGCATGGAGTCGAGTGTGTTTTCGAGATTGAACGGTTAACCCTGCTGAGATTATCGTTGTGTGCACTGATAATGGTTTTAGGGTTGCGAAGCTATTTCGAAGTTCCGTTTAGTCGTTTCTTCTAGTATTTCCTTGGAATATTGTGAAAGTAACGTGGAAATGGTTTAGGAAACTTGGTTTAGAACTGCGGTTTCCAACCTGGGAGGCGTCAAAATTTTTAGTAAATTAATGTGCATAATATCTACAAATAAATAAATTTCATATCGTAACGTAATAGTATAAATTCAGTGAAGTAGTGTTTATTTTGTAATAAAGTTATAATTATTTAACCTCTTGTGTACGATGTGCCAATGATGTCATCTTATTATTCTCTGTTCTTTCTCTGTCGTCTATAGTTGTGCAGATTATAATCAAATTTAACATAATTGCACAATGGAAAATTTTGTCAGTCTCAGATCGCAGTGACAAAAACGCTTTATTTTTCAAGAAATGTTCCCCCAGCCTTACAATGTCCGGCCGAGGGTAGGTACAATATAGCACCTTTGTGGCGAAGGCTGATGAATAAATTAATACTAGGCTATGGGAAGTATAGTATTAATAATAGAGAAGAAAATAAACAAACAATGAAGAAATGAAAAAGAAAATAAATCGTAATAATACATAAATAAATAAATAAATAAATAAATAAATAAATAAATGAATATTCCATTTATTATTTCGCCGTAGCTGAAAGGTTAAAACGTGTATACTATTATATCTATTAAAAGATAGGGAGGAAAGAATTTTTTAGAGGCATGGTAGCGTAAAGGTTGGAAACCGCTGTTTAGGAAGAAGCGCATAGAATAAACTGCAATCGGAGTCCGAATTTTGATACTTCGAACAATTTCGAAAGTAACGTTTCACTCTGACCTTTAACGTTTTCTAACGATTATCGAAGTTCCAAGTGCCGGGGTCGGTCGACATCGTCTCATTGAAATACAATTTTCAGGCGGTCGACTGGTGGGGCGTGGGCGTGCTCACATACGAATTGCTGACCAGCGCGTCGCCTTTTACGGTCGAGGGCAACAAGAACACGCAACAGGACATCTCGCGAAGAATCCTGAAGATCGACCCGCCGATACCTAGCTACCTGAGCCCGACGGTCGTCGATTTCATCCTGCGCCTTCTAGTGAAGGATCCTCGACAGAGGCTGGGCGGAGGTCCGGACGACGCTAAGGAGCTGAAGGAGCATCCTTTCTTCAGGAAAGCGCCGCCGCCGTTCAGTTGGGAAGCCCTGGAGAAGCGACAGATCCCCCCTCCATTTGTTCCCCGCATCACCCACGAACTGGACACCAGTAACTTCTCCGACGAGTTCACGAAGATGATTCCAGCGGACAGCCCCGCGGAAGCACCGCCGAATCATGACAACATCTTCAGGGGATACTCGTACGTAGCGCCCTCGATACTGTTCGGCGAGAACGTGGTCAGCAAGGACATCTTCAAGGAAGCTACCAAAGCTAGCACCGAGTCCCAGAGACCATCAGCTTCGGACGTTTTAGCTGCCAGATTCGAAGAGTCCACCTTCTTCCAGACATACGAGCTGGACCCTCGCGAGAAAGCCCTAGGCGATGGTAGCTTCTCCGTGTGCCGGAAGTGCAGGCATAGGAAAACGATGCAGGAGTACGCGGTGAAGATCGTCAGCCGCAGGATAGACTGCGGCAGGGAAGCCAGCTTGCTGAGGACCTGCCAGGGTCACTCGAACGTGGTCAAGCTGATCGAGGTGCACCAAGACAGGGCGCACACGTATCTGGTAATGGAGCTGTTGTCTGGCGGAGAATTGCTACCTAGGCCTAAGCCCTACACGGAGCAACAGGCGAAGAGGATAATGCGACAGCTAGCATCAGCCGTGCGGTTTATGCACTCTAGGGATGTCGTCCACAGAGATCTCAAGCCGGAGAACATAGTGTTCGCTCACGAAGGCGAGGACTCTCCGGTGAAGATCGTCGACTTTGGTTTCGCTAGGGTAAAAAGAGACTGCGAGCCTCTTCATACACCTTGTTTCACTCTTCCTTACGCAGCGCCTGAAGTGGTAGCTAGACAGGGTTACGATCAGAGCTGCGACCTCTGGAGTCTAGGCGCGATCTTGTATTCCATGCTGTCCGGGAAGCCGCTGTTCGGTACAAGCTCGCCGGATTTGGTCAGTAGGATCAGAGCCGGCGAGATAGATTTCGAAGCCGAGGTGTGGAATCAGGTGTCCAGTTTAGCGAAGCAAGTAGCGAAAGGCTTGCTGACCGTCGACCCTAATAAAAGACTGACCGCGACCGGTTTGGTGAATCACCCGTGGCTGGCCGAATCCAGTACTTCCGTGGACGTGATCACGTTAGACATCAATACCAGCAACGCCTGCTTCCTGGAGAAGCCGGAGGGCTGCTTCCGGCTGCGCGAGGTGGATGGGGCCCGACTAGCGCAGAGGAGGAAGCTGCACAAACGATCCACTTCCAGCTCGGTCTCCTCTTCGGCGTCTACTACTTCCTCCAGCCCCTCGGTACAGCTGTTGCGACCCCCTAGCGCGGCGACCAATCCAGCGACTTCTGCCTCGCCAGCTCAGCCCAGCGCGTTCGACTTTGGCGAGGACAAAGTGAACGAATACCTCAGCTCGTTGTCGTCCTCGTCGGATTCCAATTCGCCGAGGATCATGCAGCAAGAAGCGCCGAAGAAACGACGGAAAAGAGAAGCGAACGAGGAGGAAGGCAAGACGAAGAGGCACAAAAGACACTCGGATTGCGAGGTGATCTACAAGAGTAGCCGGATCGGCCCAGTGACCAGAGCCAGAAAGAGGAAACTGGAGGAGCAAAACGTTGGTAACGGCAGTGATGAAATTGCGGTGTCCGAGGGATCTCACACGGACCCCAGGGACGTACACCGGAAACAAAAGGCTGGGAAACGGCCCAAACGACTCGCGACTATCATCGTGGAGTAGATGATGATCCTTTCTTGTTCCGAAGTTCGGCAGTCTCGCACCTCTTCGTGTCTCCTATGCATTTGCCACGTGATATGATCATGATCATGATTATGAAGATGATGATGATGATGATGAAGATGATGATAATGATGATGATGATGAAGAAGAAGAAGAAGAAGAAGAAGATGATGATGATGATGATGATGATGATGATGATGATGATGCTGTTGTAACGTTGCTGCCTTCGAAGCTCACGCGCGAGCGAACCATTGCGTCATTCCTATTTCCGGAACTTGGCCCAGGGAGTCTCTTTTCGAATTTCGTACGCGTTCGTCAGCCGTTCACGCGGACGAAACACGTTTCCGGTTCTCGATGTCGGCGTTCCCCATACTAATGGGAACTCGCCGCCGTTCGCGTTATGGGCATTGCACTTTTACGCGACGCGCGGAATGATTATGGGAAGCTACGAAATCGAAATCGATCTTTAAAGTATGGTGTTCAGTAGAAGAGGTTTAATGAGAAGTTGAAATGTTGAGTTGAACGTTATTGTGTTGTATGGATTTTAGGAAATAGATTGAATGATTTACAATCGAAAAGACGCTTACAGTTTCGTTTTCTTTTTTCTATGTATGGGGGGATTAAGGGTTTGTATAGTTTACGAGGAATTTTAACCCTTTTAGTGCCGACTGAACACCGAATGAAAAATAAAATAGGAACGATATTTACAAAATTTAAAAGGAGCATATTATGAAATAAAGGGAGAATGAGTGCGAATTGTATTTAAATATTTGTTGAAAATCACACGAATAACGTAAATATAAAACATTGTGAAAAACAGAAAAATCAATTCTGTTTGTAAAACAGTATTTGCACATAAGAAAAATAACAATAATTTTGTTACAATAATTTATAACAAAACAAGTGATTCATGTAGCTAGCATAACGTTACTAAAATGAAACTTTAGTATTATTATAAACATTTATATTTAGTTATCTGGCTATTGAGAATGTGTAATATTTACTTGTTATTACTCGCACAAGTAATTTACTTATCATTGATGCTTACTGACGCGTACACCGTGTAATCCTTTATTACACAGATTAGAAATGTCACGGCACTAAAAGGGTTAAGCTATAACGATGATTTCCTGTGAAGTTTAAAAGGTGAAGAGCGACTATTTGTTGATAATGTGTTTCATTGTTGCTGTCTTATAAAGTATACGATAAGTTTATTTACTTTGAACGTTATTTACAAACAAAATGCAATTACTGAACCATCTTCGTCATCGTAGCGAGAAGAAAAAAAGACTAATCTGAGAAAATTTCCCTCATCTCCTGAGCTGTTTAACGACATCGACGAACTCGCGCTCAGTTTGCAAAGGGCTCCCTGTACGACACGGTTCCTTATCGCAATCTTTAAATTATTGTAGGTACATTTTAATTTTATGCCATGCTTAGGATAACGTATTATCGAGCGGAGCTGCGACGAATAGTATTTCAAGTAGAAAGTGCAAAAACCAACAGCGATCTTCGACTCTTGAATTAAAACGTCACGAGCAAACACACCCGCAGAATTTTACAACTGTCAAATACTTTTGGTCGTTCCAACTAGTTTCATTTATCTGTTCATTTCCTACAAAAATTCGACAGATTATACTACAAATAAGGAACTTTAACACTAGAACTACCAGATACATCAAAATGACCCATTCTTAAACTCTTCTTCTGCAATCATTGAAAAAACTTTTATAGTTAATCCTTCAAGGAATTTCAGAAATTGTTTTAGCAATACGCAAACTAAGTTTGGAGTGATGGACTCTTGGGGTTTCTATACAATTGTGAGAAGTCATTTGACTGGTTGGTAGTTGAAGTGTTAAACGAAACATTCGTCCAAGGAAATTCTGTGTTAAAGAAGACACCATTACCTCTTATTTTCTATCGCGAGTACTATGTCCAGCCAGCTCCTCGTCGTCGATACTACTAGGCATACATGTATATAAAATTATACTATATTCTCCTAAACGAGCGTCAGCGTTATTGTTGTGGGGGAACGTCGACGTTCCTGGCCCGATCCTAAACGCACTAGAGCCTCCTTCTCGTTGATTCTTTCTTTCACGTTGTCTGTGATGAACCGTAAACCGTTGATGCGCTTCATCCTTTCCCCCGGAGCGTGGTCCCCAACGCCCGAATCGCCTTCTACTCACCCCCTTCCGTGATAATGTACAGGGTGGTCCATTATCAATGACTACGACCCGACAAATCGGAGCAGATGATTTCGGAGAGGCGTCAGAAGGTTGGAAACCTTCTTCTCCATCTTGAACGTCCATTTTCCTCTATTTACATAGTAGGCCAAGAAAGTACCTTAACCTTCTGCACTCGGAAGTTTCTCGCTAGGAATGCTCGAATAAATAATTTAACTATTCAAACAATAAGAGATAGATACATACGTGGCTCTTTTTCTCCTGGCATTTAAAATTTGACGCATAATTCAATAATTGATGGACAGTTTTCAAAGGTCTGAGAAGTTCGCAAATGGTTAACCCTTTGCACTCGGAAGTTTCTCACTGGAAATGTTTAACATTTTTTGATGAGGCGAAGACGATATTCCTTAAAATTAATTTGAAGGGAAATCACAAGTACATTGAGGAACAAAGATATTTTATTCCAGTATTTCACGCATCAAGGCATTATAAAAAGTTGAACATTAAACATCAGATTTTATAGTTTTACCGCGCCAAATCGAACGGTGACTAAAAGTCGCCTTCCGAGTGCAAAGGGGCAAATTTCTTCGTGATAATTTCACTTAACCCCTTCTCCTATAATGTCGAGTCAGACTCGTGATGAATATTCCCAAGCGAATTCGAGGAAACTAAACGTCATTTATTTATTTTTCATATAAATGAAATGTTATTTGGCTATTATCTATCTTTAACCTTTATAATACACGTAGGCACAGAATAAACAACGAATTCTTTTCTTCTGTTACTAAATTATTAGTGATAATGTAGATTTATCAGCAGAGTTGTGAAAGAAATCATAAACGACCCATTCGTGAGTTATTCTTTTACAATTATTGAAAAGACAGCAGATGCTTTGCGAAATTACCGAAGAAATTGACCTAGTAACAAATTGAATCACAACTCAATCGAAATCTCAATAGCTAGTCCTAGTGTCTCCATAAAAACATTTGGAAACTTCAGTTTGCTCGGTAATTAGTGTAAGAAAACAGTGCAACATTTTTCAAGTTTCGTTCGTTAATTTCTTATTTACAAATCACGCATGAACAACGAAAATCTCGTGTACAAGGAGCATTCAATTATTTCCGACACACTGTATATAGTTTTCTGCTTCTGTTGGCCGTCCCTGTTCTTCCACCTTCTCTTCCTCGACGGCACATTCTCTCGGAAATCGTCTGCTCCACTTCGCCGCGACACGGAATCGCCGGGAAGAAACAAAACGAAATCGTGAACGTGAAATATTTCTTTAGGCTTCGTTCTCGAGGGAACCGACCGTGAATATTCCTTAAGAGCGCCTGCCAGTGAGCAGAACCCGGCTGCGTCTGTTCGTGGCATACCGTTTCTACTTACTAACGTTCAAAATGGCGGTTCTCAGGAAACTAACAGATTTTGTCCCACGAACAAATCTGTTCATCGAAAATGCTTTTTTTCCTGAAAGTGTCTTCGAAGAATCGTGTGTTTCGGTTTTCTCTAAAGTATTGCTAAACATTTATTTAACCCCTTGCCTTACGATAACGTGTCAGACACGTGGTGCAGATTTCAAACGATTGAACTAATGTGGACGTTCGCTCGATCCTCTTCAATTTAACCTTTTGCGGACGAAGATTCTTCGAAACATAGAAAACCTTCAACGTATGAAGCTAAATTAAACATCAGTTGCTTAATTAATAGAACGAAAGAAAACTACGCGCTGATCTCTTACTGTTCGACTAATTAGATCATTTTTCCACGACTTAGTCTTCCAAATCTGAACATTTCATCTCACCGAAGTTTGATATTTAATATTAAACTCGGTGTGACGCATCGCTGTGCGAAATATTGAAATAATAGCTTTCCGCCTTCACCGTTTGCGGACGAAAATTCGAAGTATACGAAAACTTTTGAAGATTCTACTAAATTAGATATCGAATGCTTAAATCGTAGAAAATAACGAATCGTGTACCGATTTCTTGCTGTTTGAATAGTTAAATCCTTTGTTTGCAACTTATTCGAAACATGAACGTTCGACTCCGACAAAATGGCTACATCCGTCCGCAAAGGGTTAAATGAAATATTATTCTCCTGTTATCAATTATTACACTTTGGAGCAAAGATTGATATAGAATATGCCTATACTTTTGTTTTCAACAGATTTTTAGTCTATCGTTTAATTGCTAGTCCTACGTTAATACGTTCGCTGCCAGCGTCACATATTCGTGACGGCTGTAATCCTATATTTTACAGAATGGAAATTAAATTAATCCTATGGATATTGTTATTAGGAATTATAAGCTACGGCGTTATGTTTAGGAATTCAATGAGTTCAGTTTCGTTTTTCTAATATTTTGTTTAGATTTATTATCGAAGAAAATATTATAATTGAGGAGACGAACGGTGATATAATAATAATAATAATAATAATAATATAATTGAGGTAGCGAACGTGTTAATGTAACATTTCAGATATGTATAAAACCCAAAGAAAAATCACAAAATTGAATTCCTCATTCTCTTTCGTAAGCTACAAATTTCGGTTTGATTGATGTTTAACCCCTTGCACTCGAAGTTTTTTTTCATTCATATATCCAGCAACTCGAAGCAAAGATGGAAGTGGAAAGATCATATTCGCATATAAGTAAATGATATGCGCATTAAAAGAAAAGTCATTGTTATACGTTACTGTTTTTTTAATTGATTATGAATACAAATCTTATAATATATAAGAAAAACAAAAAATTATAAAATTAATATCCTATACACAATAGTTTTACGATTTGTCTTTGTCCTTATGTAATGAACTGAAAATTATTTGCATTGTCTCCATAGCGGAGCCCTCGAGTGCAAAGGGTTAAAAATGTATCGATACAATCACCGACGCTCGCGTTTCTAGCAGCTGAAATTCACCCGTCGTGCAATACGTTAATAAACCATTAACGACAAAAAATAGTTGTATCGATCGTAGCGCAGAAGCAAATCGTAAGGCAAGGAACTAACAAATACGCGTACCAGCACGAGTGAAACGTGTCGGAGAAACTACTACCAATAAAATGGGGCAGAATCAGTGAACACTAGATTTACGGAACGAGTGAATTCGTCTCATA